CCACGACGAGAATGGTGGTGTCCACTATTACGTGGAACGGCATGTGGGTCGACGTCGTCGCCAGAAGCAAACGCAGTATTTTGTGAAGTGGCGGGAATACCCCGACATTGAGATCTTGTGGGAGTTTGAAGTGCCACCTCGGTAAGACTGCCCCGACGTCGTGGATGCTTACGATCAGAAAGATCATGACGAGCCGCAACGTCGTACGCTCCGCGCTTCATGGCAATAGCCAGGGAAACCGAAGGGCCATGAGCTGAGCTCAAGCTATGGTCACCTGTGTAAGAGACCATAAGGCTCGCGGGGGAGCGATGGCTCAACCCATACGTCGCCCTGCGACGTATGGGTTAAGTTTGGCAAACAAAAATTGACGATGGCGTTCCACGCCGTCATCTACCTCCTTGTGGCTCAACTGTAAGTTGAACAGCAAGTATAGTTTCCAGTGCCGATACACCCATGGTACAAAGAGCTCTTCGTCCTCTGCAGCGGTTTTGCAAGGGGTGAGCACCACAAAAATTGTCCGCATCGCGGATAAAGTGGCGCCTTCTCTTTTTGCGCGAGCGCGGAATGTATCCATTGGGATTTCATAAGGTTTCAAGAAGCAAGCTCGGAGAGCTTTTCGTTCGTCAAACTCATCTTATGAAATGTGTGGCCCGACCACGTCGACGCCCAATGACCGAGTTATCGCGTCCTTTGCTTCAGCAGCAGGATCCGCGAGCAGCAGTCGTACTCCAACGAGGTTCAAGGATTGACCGTGGATGCTATCGCATGAGCGCTGCCTTTCGGGCAGCATCTAGCTGCTGCTGTGCCTCGTCGACGTCATTGGTAATGATACAACTTCCACTGTAAGTCGAGAGTTCGGAATTGGACACGGTGTCCGCATAGTTCATGCAGGGCTCACGTTGGGCCGCTGGCGCGCTTCACCCTCCTATTTTTCCCATTATGGGAAAGGAGTATCCGACTCGTAGTCGTTTTTCTTCCAAATTTTCGACGAGGTAATCCGTCGCCCGTGGCCGGAGCGGTGTGCGGTATTCGGTTGCCGAGAGCTTGGTATGCGCTTTCCTTGAAGTCGTGGACGTGCTGTCCAAAGTTGCACCGCGTGGAGAAGACGGAGAAGGACTATGCCCGCGAGCGTCTTAGGAATAAATGTGGCTAGGTGTCTCTCGTGTCCTAGACACAGGGTTCATTGAGCAGAGAATGCGTGCAGAAGGTCCGGGGTTGAAGAAGTGTCTTAGACACGCAAGCCTTGTACGAGGCAACAGTTAAATGTGAATTGTGGGTGCTCACAATTTTGATGGGGGGGAATGTAGCGGGATTACACATACCCTGGTATGAAGGGTTAAGTCACACGAGATGGTGTGGCCATACAAGGGTGTGGGTACACAAGACGGTGTAATCGCACGATGGCTTGACAACACCTTAACAGGAAGTCAGAACTTGGCTGGTCTGTCATTAGTTATGCATTTTGATGCGGTTTTACTTTTTAACAAAGGAGTCCCTTTTGATTTAGATATATGCGGCTTTGGCGCAAATAAACCTAGAAATACAATTTACATTTTGAACGGAAGAGTTTATTTGCCTTGGGTTAAGGTTGTGGCTGCTCCGGGAGTAAGCAGATTGCGACCCGCTACACTTGTGCTAGTTTTCAGTATAAAATGAAGGTCATCAACCTAAGCTTAGCTTCCTCAAGGCGAAAGACCTACGGCAGCTTCGCTGCACACGGCCTTGCCGCTCTTTATGACTATTATATCTTCTAGGCTTGAACGTTCACAACTCACATTTAGGTAATGTAACGGGAGACACCCGTCCATATACACGCACTTTTTGAGGAGTACTTAAGTCATTTTACATGCTTCACCGCGTGTTACTGACTCCCAGCGAGCTGTTGATTTACGCAAACGAGGAGGAAAATGGCATTTGTTATGGCCAATAGGCCTTGAGCCTTCCCTATACTGAATTATGCCTCCAATTTAGGTGGAGAATAATACAACTGTGCAAGATATATAGCTAATGTTAAACACACATATGAGTATGTGATTCGCACAGTATGTGTAATAAGAGTGACCCCATCGCACCACTCCCCACTAAAGAATGGGCTTTCCGGTATTTTCTACAATACTTTGAGATTTGGTCATTCGTGATTCCTCAAGAAATGAAGCGCATCGAAGACAACCTGCACTGACGACGAGCGCAAAGCAAACCGCACTTCTATCTGAGATGCGAAGGCGCTTTCGCCATAATCAAACTTGCCACCGAATCCGTGGATGTCCACCGTTTGCAAAGTGCGAATACCGCTGCAGACTTGTTGAGGATACGCGATATGCGCTTCGGCTTGTCCATTTAACAGCGCAAGATCAACTCTACTCCGATTCGAAGATGCTCGCGAAATACGTGCTACCATTAGTCGAATCCACGACGAGAGGGAGAGCGAAAAGAGGGAGGTATGAGTCCCGTAAGCGGAGTTCGTATTTGGACCCGCGTTGAACGCGAGAGCAATATCGGGGAAGTCGCCAAGAATACGACAACGAGGTTCCCACAAATTCTCGTTCGCTGGGTAATCCAGCCATTTACCAGAAATTCCTTCCAATCGCGGATGTTCCTCTCCACAACCACGTTCTCAACATGGTAGTATCGATTTTCCTGTCAACCAAAAGAGGGAGAGGTGCCCGAAGAGGGCGTCTTCTCTGCTTCTTCTGTGACTGCTGCACAGTCTTCGTTTGGTTTGGAATTGCGATTGACGAAGGTGGAGACACTTCTTTCCGTAGTTAGCCGACAGATTGATCGAGGTGTTCGATCGGGTGTTGAGGGCGCGATATCACGTGAAGGCTACTCGACGGGTCGTTTGCGAACTTCGCAATCTCGTATGGCGACATGAACATTCGCATGGAGATGCCATTGAAAATTAGATTCGGCGATTTAAGCAGGTTCTGCAAATTCTTCCTCCTGCTGCGGCTGCTGTCGCTGACGATGTGGAGCCTCATATCAAGCGACCTTTCTATGGTTCGGGTGAATATCGTTTTTCGTAGTAATCGCCAACACAATCAGTAGCCATCTACCTATTGTCGACGTTCTGACCCTCGCGATCGTTTGTCTAGTTCCGAAGCTGTGGCTCCAAAGCCATATTCGAATAAGACTGCATTACATCCAGGTTGGAGTCGCGTTATCAAGATGAAAGGGTTTGATTTGCCCTACTTAGACCGCTGGATGTGTCTTCAGCCAACTTGGAAAATCGATAGTGTAAGCGTCTGACACTGCTCGGAGTGGACCGATGAAGTGAGATAATAGCTTCAAACCTTCCAAGCTTGAGACCGCATCGTCTGATAGGCTCTTAGTACTAAGTAGTACATAATTTCTAACAATACAAGATATTTTGCCTTTACGACCTCGTCTATCTGCGTATTTCTTTTGTAATAATTAGCTATATTATAATCGCTGTATTTGATATAATACGTCGAGGGTATGTCAAGGATGAGCATTGTGATCTGATCATCAAGGCACTCTTATCGGACGATATGGAATTCCCTGATAGGCGTTCTGATCGCTTGAACTCTCGGATGCATCGTTATTTCACTATGACGTTGCACTTTGTGACGAGCCACGCATTGTGGCTCCCCACAACGATGATTTGATGCACACGATTGTGTACGAGGCGCATGATACGCCGATGGCCGGTCACTATGGCCGTGAGAAAACCAACTAACCTCTCAGTGTCCAATTTTTGTAGCCCCGCATGTACAAGTGGGTGGCACGAAACGTAAACACATGTGATGTCTGTCAGCGCGTTAGGAGCGCAGGCACACGATAGTGCCACTGCAGAGTCTCTCTTTATTTTTACTGACTGTTGGAAGTCAGTCGGTCTCAGCTTAATCTTTGTTTTTCCCGATGAGACTGATGGTCCTAATGGAGTGCTCGTCTTCGTTGACAGACTCAGCAAGATGGTTCGCATCGC